GCAGGTGGTTCTCTGTGAATTTGAGGCCAGACTGGTCTTCCAGAGGTCCTGAGTTCAATTCCCAGAAACCATATGGTGGCTCACAACAATTTATAATAAGATCTGGTGCCCTCTACTGGTATGCAGACAAAACACTATACACATGATAAATAAATAAATCTTAAAAATAAATAAAAGCAAAATAATTTATGGTCTAGGGAGAGAGTTCAGTTTATAAAATGCTTGCCTCATAAGAGGACTGGAATTTGTATCCTTGGTACTCACATGAATATTGGGCAGATGTAGTGGTCTACTTGTAATTCTAGTAATGGAAAGGCAGAAACAGGTCATCTAGACAGACTAGTCCATTTCATTAGCTCTGGGCTCAATGGAGAGACTACCTCATTGTGGCGAGAAATCGAGGAAGGTTTCCAGTGTTATCCTGGTCCCTCCTCAGACATGCTCACATACCATACAGACATGAAATAAAGAAGTTGCCGTTAGCTATCTTAGATGAAATATTTGGTTATTTGAGGAGTTCTTATCTTTGAAAATACATGACAATATATTTATGGATGAAATTATATGTCTAGGATTTGCTTTGAAATAATTAGTACAGAGGTTTAGGAGTAGAAAAATATGTAAGAAAAAGGATTGACTATGATTGATAACTGTTGAGGTAAAGTGACAGGAGTTCAGTATTCTGTTATCTCTACTCTTTTTTTTTTCTTTTTCTTTCTTTCTTTATTTATTTATTAAATATTTCTGTCTCTTCCCCACCTCCGCCTCCCCTTTCCCTCCCCCTCCCCCAATCCATTCCCCCTCCCTCATCAGCCCAAAGAGCAATCAGGGCTCTCCGTCCCGTGGGAAGTCCAAGGAAAACCCTCCTCCGTCCAGGTCTCGTAAGGTGAGCATCCAAACATCCTAGGCTCCCACAAAGCCACTACATGCAGTAGGATCAAAAACCCATTGCCATTGTTCTTGATGTCTCAGTAGTCCTCATTGTCCGCTATGTTCAGTGAGACCGGTTTTAACCCAGGCTTTTTCAGACCCAGGTCAGCTGGCCTTGGTGAGTTCCCGATAGAGCATCTCCATTGTCTCAGTGTGTGGGTGCACCCCTCGCGGTCCTGAGTTCCTTGCTCATGTTCGCTCTCCTTCTGCTCCTGATTTGGACCTTGAGATTTCAGTCCAGTGCTCCAATGTGGGTCTCTGTCTCTGTCTCCTTTCATCGCCTGATGAAGGTTAATATGCAGGAGGATGCCTATATGTTTTTCTTTGGGTTCTCCTTATTTAGCTTCTCTAAGAACCCGAATTATAGGCTCAATGTCCTTTATTTATGGCTAGAAACCAAATATGAGTGAGTACATCCCATGTTCCTCTTTTTGGGTCTGGCTTACCTCACTCAGGATAGTGTTTTCTATTTCCATCCATTTGCCTGCAAACTTCAAGAAGTCCTTGTTTTTTACTGCTGAGTAGTACTCTAATATGTATATATTCCATACTTTCTTCATCCATTCTTCAATTGAGGGGCATCTAGGTTGTTTCCAGGTTCTGGCTATTACAAACAATGCTGCTATGAACATAGTAGAGCATATATTTTTGTTGCATGATAAGGCCTCTCTTGGGTATATTCCCAAGAGTGGTATTGCTGGGTCCATGGGTAGGTTGATCCCAAATTTTCTGAGAAATCGCCACACTGCTTTCCAGAGTGGTTGTACAAGTTTGCATTCCCACCAGCAATGGATAAGTGTACCCCTTTCTCCACAACCTCTCCAGCATAGGCTATCATTGGTGTTTTTGATTTTAGCCATTCTGACAGGTGTAAGATGGTATCTTAAAGTTGTCTTGATTTGCATTTCCCTGATCGCTAAGGAAGTTGAGCATGACCTTAGGTGTCTTTTGGCCATTTGAACTTCTTCTGTTGAGAGATCTCTGTTCAGCTCAGTGCCCCATTTTATAATTGGGTTGATTAGCCTTTTACAGTCTAGTTTCTTAAGTTCTTTATATATTTTGGAGATCAGACCTTTGTCAGTTGCGGGGTTGGTGAAGATCTTCTCCCAGTCAGTGGGTTGCTTTTCTGTCTTAGAGACAGTGTCCTTTGCTTTACAGAAGCTTCTCAGTCTCATGAGGTCCCATTTATTCAAGGAGGCCCTTACTGTCTGTGCTGCTGATGTTATACGTAGGAAGCGGTCTCCTGTGCCCACTTGTTGTAGTGTAGTTCCCACTTTCTCTCCTATCAGGTTCAGTGTGTTCAGACTGATATTGAGACATGGATCTATTTTCATTTTTGTACAGATTGAAATCCAGTTTTGCCAGCACAATTTGTTGAAGATACTCTCTTTTTTCCATTGTATAGTTTTAGCTCCTTTATCGAAAATCAGGTGCTCATAGGTTTGTGTATCTCTACTCTTTTATACATTGGGAAATAGTCATAGAAAAATTATAAAATTGCAGGGAATAGTTATTTCATCCCAACACTCAGGAGGCAGAGGCAGGTGTATATCTGTGAGTTTAAGGCCAGTTTGTTCTAAATAGTGAATCCCTGGACAGTCAAAGCTACCTAGTGAGACCCTATCTCAAATAAATAAAAAAATAAAATAAAATGCTTATATATGTATACAATATTTCTGGAAATCTGGTAAGAGTAATTGTCTTTAGGAAGAGGAACCAGGCCTGTAAGACAGGGGGGCAAAGTAAAGACTTAGTCTTTGTTTTACAATTATAATATCTAGAGTGTAATAAATTAATGACTTTAGCAGCTTTTTTGTTTGTTTGTTTGTTTTATTTTTGAGACAGGGTTTCACTGTGTAGCCCTGGCTGTCCTGAAACTTCTTCTATAGGCCAGGGTGGGCTCAAACTCAGTGATCCACCTGCCTCTGTCTCCTGAGTACTGGGATTAAAGGTGTGCACCACCACCTGGCTAATAGCCTTTTTAAGGAACACATAGTTACAGATATTTTCTCTGCTAAATAATTATCATCAACATGTGTTGCTCAACATGCTCTAGTACATTTTGCTTACGCACTGTTGTTGACCCCATATTAAACCCTTCAGGTGCCATTTTACTTCTGTGTTCTTCTTTGTAGTCTTAAAAACTTCTCATTTTAACTTATTTCCTCTCTCAAACATATCCTTTCCTCCTCCTTCTACCTGAATATAGTTTCCCTACTTCCCTGAAACTCTCTTTGTCTAAGTTGTCAATGAGCTACTAGTGTACAAAGGACCAGTCTACAAAGCTTTTATCTGATCTCTTGTATATTTATTAAAGATTTAAAATTGTTTTATCTGGCTGGGGTTGGTGGTGCGCACCTTTAATTCCAGCACATGGGAGCCTGAGACAGATTCTGTGAGTTTGGGGACAGCCTAGTCTAAATACTGAAGAGATCCTATGTTAAATACAGCTATGTGCGTGTGTGTGTGTGTGTGTGTGTGTGTGTGTTCAAATGCCATAATTTGTTCTAGCTGGAGAATGGGAGGAGTATATGCCCTCTCCCACAAATATCATTATTTTTTTCTTTTCTTTTTTTTTAAAGACTAGATCTCATGTTTGTGGATTCAGTCAGTCCTTGTACCTCAGCCTCCCTAGTAGCTGGGATTATTGGTATGCACCACAATGGTTAGCTTTGTGCCTCTCCATCCTCAATATCAAGGTGAATTAATACTATAAAATATTAACAGAAGGAAAGACACAGATGTGTACCAAGCCAATGAAGCTGACTTTATCTGACTTGTAAAATAGGGGGTTCACAACAGTTTTGAAAGGAAAATATGTGCCACGCTAAGGATGTTGCCCAGTTGGTAGAATGCTTGCCTAGCATGCGCTGAGCCCTAGACTTGACTCCTCAGAACTGCATAAGACTGGGTAGAGGGGCAAGTTTGAGGGTAGACTTTCATGGCAATTGCCTTTCAAACGGCCACTACCTCCTCAGGGGACTGACTTTTGTCTTTAAAAAGACATGAGACCTTGTCTCATACAAACATAGTAAGGAACCATAACAGCATCTGCCTAGTAAGCTTGTTTTGGAGATTAAACGCAAGTAAGGCATTTAACACGAGTGGCAATAATGATATAATAAACTTATTAGGGAAGAGTTTAATTAGGAATAGTGAAGATTTTCCCAGTTTTCTTCCTTCTTAGACTCTCAGAAAGCAAACTATGTGAGTCAAACCCGGGCAGAGGCAAGGTTCAGCATCTCTCAGTATTTATTACCTTTAGGGTGAAGGCAAGGCCGGGGCTCTGAGCTTAGTATTTCACATAAAGCCTCTCTGGGCTTTTAAAAGGGAACATCCAGATTGATCAAAGAGAGACTGAAGTTCTTGAAGTTCTTGAGAACGGATGATGGAATAGGGGTGTTCTTTCCCAAGGCATCCCAACCTGGAAAAGTCCTCCTAAGTGACTGCCAAAATTAACGCCCTTTGTGCCTCCTCAGCAGCGCCCACCACCACTCTTGTCCTTCTCAACACTTCCCCTCTCTCACCAATATCCATTTCCTCCCACTAATGGAGACTTCTGTCAAACTCTGTCACTTGCCACAAGGGTCTCTTCCTGCCTGTTAGTACTTCACACTCCTTTCCTTCAATTTCTCATCCTCTGCCACAGACTATCCTCTTACTTCGTTCCGCACCTCAGTGTAACCCTTCTGCCTCAGTTTCCCCTTTCTCCGCCTCAGGAACTGCTCCCCTGCAGTTCTCTTGCCTCCACCTCGGTTTCCCTTCAGCCTCTGACCCACGCTCCCGACCCACGCCCTCCTGGTTCGGCCCTACCCGACTGCTCCAGGGTCAGCGCCCCCAGGCGGCGGAGGCCCTCCTCGTCCAGATCCCATTGCTCCGCCATTCGCGCCCGCCGCTCACCTGCCACGGCTCGCGAGACCGCCCCGCGCTCGCCAGACCACGCCCCTCGCGCCAGGCCCCGCCCCCGCCCCGCCCCGCCCCGCCCACTAGCTGAGGACCTTGGTTTTCTAGGTGCCGTTAGAGGACGGGTCACGTGCCTGTCTGCCTGCCACTGAAGTTAGGACTATGGTATGGAGCCCGTCCCGGAGAAGGGCGCCAAAACCACGGAGGTGGCCAGTGGGGGAGTTGGTGCCCAGAATGTAGGCGTTGGGAATAGGGATCTGACTCGACGAGGGTCGGAAGGCGGCCCCAGTTTAGAAGAACCTGGGGAGGGCGTGGATGAGTAGCTGCGAGAACATGCTGTCTTTAGCGGTGAACTGCTTGTTCTACAGCACTGAGGATTTGAGGGGCGTCAGGTTTGAGGGGTGGAGGAGGTTTGTCTCTTTGAGGGATGGAGGCCTTAGTACCTTAAAGCCCAGGTTCGTTCTAGACATTGAGCTAGACGGGAGTGACCTTTAAAGGCGAAATCCACATCTGACAGTGGGGGGGGGGCAGATTTTGGAGGCCTGATGGAAATTCCCGAAGTTAGGAGAAACTTGGCTCTGGGGAGCGGAGTCCTCAGGGCACTGAGGCTTCAGGGCACTGAGGTCCTATCGCTCTAATTTGATTTGGAAGAAGGTCGTATGGAAATGAGATGCTCTTTGGAATGGGGTTGGGATGACTAAAAACCGCCCTACATCCCGTAGTCGGTCTAGCAAGAAGCCATTTTTTCAAGTACTGCAGGTTCTCTAGCTGCTATGACCGGAGGCTCTCCCCAAAGCGAAATAGTTCTGCACTAGTAATGCCCTGAACAGTCTTTGGGGAAGAAAGCTCTAGGAAGAACAGTTTCCTAACTTTGACCAGAAAGTGTCCCTTGAAAGTCCTGTGGGTGACATGTGAAGCAAGTACTTGAACCAAGACATACCCCCCTTTTTTTATATAAATTAATTTAACTTTATTTTATTGTTCTGAAGGTGTCAGATTCCCTGAAACTGGACTTTTAGACAGTTGCGAGCTACCATGTGGGTGCTAGGAAACTGAACTCAGGTCCGCTAGAAGAGCAGCCACTAAGCCGTCTCTCTAGCCCCCGACCCTTTTCTTTAATAAGAGCTCAGCCTCCAAGGAGCAGGTTTAGTTTAGCATTCAAGTATGCCAAAACACATATCTCTGCTGAGCCTTCAACTGGCTAGGTACCTTCAAAGAGAACAAGACGAAAATCAAATCCTTGTACATCTGTGCTTTCTGTTAAAGGTGGAGTCCTTATTTACTCTCAGTTTATCATGTCCAGCCTCGATCACATTTAGAAGGCATGGAACTCAAAATGGCATCATTGGATTAGTTTTTCCAGTTCTGCTTCTGAGTCATGAACCCATTATATAATCTGTACTCTTTCTCTTCGCATCTGCCTAGAGCTTTTCTAGTCTTAAAGTGGCATGTGTAATGGTTCCTCTTTATTTCAGAAATTAGACACGGTTTACTGTAGAAGAAATGCCCCTCTTCTTTATTATAAGGATTTATTCTTTTTCAGAATTAGAGATGCAAATTTTTGGTGGAAGAGAAAGGTATTCCTTTCTTGAACAACCACCTTGTACTTTAATAGTCTTGTACCCACCGCCACCATCATTCTTAGAGAATTTTAATCTTTTTGGTTAGCATACAAGCTAGTGGGTTCCACTGTGACATTTTCAAATACATGTATCATTCGACTTTGTTTGCTGCGCCTTTCTCCCTTTAAGCAGTCCCACCCTCTGTTCTTATGTCCCATTACCCTCTTTTCCCCTTCCTTTAGGCCTCTTCTTCTCCTCGCATAGGCCCCTTTCAACTTTCATATATATATATATATATATATATATATATATATATATATATATACATATAAATCTATATTTCATGTATAGAAAACACGAACCTAGCATATTTATCTCCAGTTCCTTCCATTTTCCTGCAAATACCAGAATGTCATTCTTTACAGCTGAATAAAATCCCTTGTGTATATCTACTACATCATCTACTCATCTGTTGATGTGCTTTTAAGCTGGTTGCATATCTTGGCTATTGTGAATAGTGCAGTAATATTCATGGATGTGCAAGTATATCTATGGCATGCTGATTTAGAATTCTTTAGTACATAGTGGTTAATTTTCATGGTCAGCCTGACCAGAGTTGGAATTACTTAAGAGGCACTTTTCTAGGAATGTCTGTGAATATATTTCTAGAGAAATTTAGCCATGGAAGAAGAGTCGCTTTGAATGCAGCACCACCACCTCATGGTCTATGGTACCTCCCTGAATAAAAAGGAGGCAGGAGCATCAGCGTGCTCCTGCTTTCTGATCGTCCCAGATGTGAGGAGTCCTAGCTTTATGCTTCTGCTCCCAAGAACTCTATCACACCTCCTCTGCCTTGCTGGACTGAATGCTCTTAAACCATGAGCCAAAACAAATCCTTCTTCAGTTGCTTTTATTATTATTATTAAATGTGTCCGTGTGGGTGCTGGGTGCACATGCCATGGCACACACGTAGAGGTCAGAGGGCAACTTTGTGGAATCAGTTCTTCCAATTTGACATGGGTTCCATGGATTAAGCCCAGGTCACCAGGCTTGCGCAGCAAGTGCCTTTGCCCACAGAGCCATCTGGTGGTCCCTTAAATTGCTTTATACAAATACAAAGTATTTGGTCACAGCATTGAGAAAAATAATTGTTACAAGGTATATATCCACAAGTGGTGCTAGTTGAGTGGTGTTTCAGAGCTCTCCATAATAGATTTCTGCAGAAGCAGCCCCGATTTAGCATTTGTTGTTATTTTCTTCTTGTTATTGTAAAATTTAGTTTTATCACTTTTATGCTTTATGTCTGTATGCATATGAACATACACATACGTGTGTGGGTGCCATTGGAGGCCAGAAAAGGGTGCTTCTTTCCTAAAGCTGTAGTTACAAGTGGATGTGTGGTGTTCCATATGGGTACCAGGAACGGAACTACAGTCCTCTGGAAGAGCAAAATGTGTTTTTGTTTTTGTTTTAGTTTTTCAGACAAGGTTTCTCTCTGCTGGGATTAAAGGTGTGCAACACCACCACCCTATGCAACAAGTGTTCTTAACCATTGAACATCTCTTCAGCCCCAAATTTGTGCTGTTTTCTTGAAGGATAGTCATTCTGACTTGATGAGATGGACTTTCAGGGCAGTTTTAATTTGTGTTTCTCTGATAGCTTAGGCCGCCTTATCTCACCCTTTGAGAGCTGTCACTTCAGTTCTACTTATTTACCTGATGACTTGCTTTTTAGGCATTTGAGATTTGGAGATTTTTTAAAATAAATTTTATTTATTTATTTATTATGTATACAATATTCTGTCTGTGTGCCTGAAGGCCAGAAGAGGGCGCCAGACCTCTTTACAGATGGTTGTGAGCCACCATGTGGTTGCTGGGAATTGAACTCAGGACCTTTGGAAGAGCAGGCAGTGCTCTTAACCACTGAGCCATCTCTCCAGCTCCCTAAAATAAATTATTTTTAAAAAGAATTTTACGCATGCATGTTAAGCCAGGTGTGTGGCACATGCCTTTGGGCTCAGTAATCAGAACGGTGAGGCAAGCAGATCTCTGAGTTTGAGGCCAGTCTGGTCTGCAGATTGAGTTCTAGGCATGCAGGTAATGCACATATATATGTGCAGGCAAAACTCATAACTTTTCTGTTATTATTATATTTGTTTTGTTTTTTTGAGACAGATTTCTCTGCAAAACCCTGGCTCTTACTATATAGCCCTGGCTAGCCTGGAACTCATAGAGAAAAGAGATAAGAAATCTACCTGCCTCTGTTTCCTGAGAGCTGGATTTACCATTTTAATAAGTATAATTCAGTGATCTTATATTTTCTGAGTTTGCAACCACCACCACAACCGTGGAATGTTTTTATCTTCCTTAAAGAAAATCGTACTCCTTCTTAGTCTCCCAGCCCTAATTAACCATTCATCTACTTTATGGCTCTACAAATTTGCCTTTTCCTCACATTGTCTGCTTTTTCTTAACATGATTCAAGGTCAATCCATGTTGTGACATGTATCATTACTTCTTTCCTTTTTATTAATAACCTTTCAATGAGTCAGACCAGGCAGAAAAAATGTCTTTAATTCCAGCAATTGGGAGGCAGAGACAGGTTCATCTCTGTGAGTTCAAGGCCAGCCTGATCTACAGAGTAAGTTCCATGCCAGCCAGGGCTCCAAAATTAGACTCTGTCTTAAACAAAACAAATGAAACTACCAGAATAGTTTCAATGTATGGATATATTCCACTTTATTTATTTACCAGTTGATAGACAAATTCAACTTAACATAGATATAAAGATTTATTTCTAGGCTCTAGTTATATATGTCTTTATACCAATAGTACAATGTCTTAATTAATCTTGGTGTGTAGTAAGTTTTCAAAATTGGAAGTACATGTCCTAAAATTTTGTTTTTCTTTAAAAAGATTATTGTAGCTATTTTATGAGTCCTTTTTAAGGCAGCTTGGTTTTTCACTAGAATTGTGTTGAATTTATAGGGCAGTTTGGAGAATATCACCATATTTTTAAACAGGGTCTTGCTGTGTAGGTCAGGTTGGCCTAGAACTAGCAACCTTCCTGCCTTAGCTTCTTGAATTGTAGGGTTATAGTTGTAGACCACCGTGCTTGAGTATTGTCATTTCCATATTACATTTCTCAAGAGAGCCTATTTTCCCATTTATTTGAGAATTTTAAAAGTTTCTTTCAACAAGGTTCATAAGGAGAGGGTTCATCAGTAAAATGTTTGTTGTGCAAGAATGAGAATCTGAGTTCAAGCTTCGACACTACACAAAAAGCTAACTATCCTGTAATCCCAGAATGGAGAGGCAGAAAGGGTAATCACTGAAACTCACTGGCTAGCCAGTCTAGCTGAATCCAAGAACCCTGATTCAATGAGAAATTAATCTCAAAATACGATGTGGACAGCAATTGGAAAAGATAACAATGTCAACATCTGGTGCATACATGCACATATACAAAAAACGATTTAAACAATGTTCCGAAGTTTTCAGAGTACAAGGATTATATTTCTTAAGTTTGTTAATAAATGTTTGCTTTTATGATATTAAAAACAGAATTATTTGTTCTCATTTTCTTTCTCTCAGTGTGTGTGTATGTGTTTGTGTGCACGCGCGTACGTGTGCACATGTATATCTATTCAAGTGACCAAGCCTGTGTGTGTGCATGCAAAAACCAGAGGACAAGATCAAGTATTCTGCTCTCTCGATCTCATGCTCAGTCCTTTGAGACACTTGCAGTGGAGCTCCTCATTTTTCAGCTAGGCTGGCAGCCAGCAAAACCCCCAAGGACCTTCGTGTCTCCACCCCCAATCAGTGCTGCGGGTACAGGTGAACGTCGGATACACCCAGCTCTTTTACATGGACGTTGAGATCCAAATCCAGATACTCGTGTTTCACAACAGGCGCTCTTTTTCCTACCACCCACCTCTTTATACAGGGTCTCGCGGTGTAGCCATAGTTGGCCTTGAGTTCAGTATGTAGCCCTACACTGTCCTCAGACTTGTAGTGATCCTCCTGCCTCAGTCTTCTGAGTGTTGTGATTACAGATGCCTGAAACCATGGCTAGCTTCTTAAATTTTAAGGTGTGAAATAGAATTGTTTTTTAAAACTATCCTTCAGTCTTGCTGAGCTCATAACATTGTGTGTGAGTTCCTTTGCCTGCTGTATGCACTTTCCCATGTTGTCAGCAACTGTGGTTCCATACTGCTTGTCAGGATGCTTTCCATTTATTTCTGTTTATAACTCTCACCTCATTCTTTCCTTTAGGAGGAGCCTGGCATGCTGCATGAATCAGCAGAGGATTTGTTTCATTTCAATGTTGGGGGCTGGCATTTCTCAGTTCCCAGAAGTAAACTTGCTCAATTCCCAGACTCACTGCTGTGGAAAGAGGCTTCAGCTTTGACATCTGCAGAAAGCCAGAGGCTGTTCATTGACAGAGATGGCTCCACATTTAGGCATGTGCACTATTACCTCTACACTTCCAAGCTCTCCTTCTCCAGCTGTGCCGAACTGAACTTGCTTTATGAGCAAGCCCTGGGGTTGCAGCTGATGCCTTTGCTTCAGGTAAGATGTGCTTCTCCAAGAGTGATGTTCAACAGCACCCCAAAATGTGAGGCTCTTTTCTATATGGGTTTCTGAAGTAACCCTTTTAATAGACAAGTGTAATAAATGAGTTAAAATAATGAACAATATACTGAATTGCATAATGGCTTTGGCTTTTTTTTTCTTTGAGACAGGGTTTCTCTGTAGCTTTGGTGTCTGTCCTGGAACTAGCTCTTGTAGACCAGGCTAGCCTCGAACTCACAGAGATCCACCTGCCTCTGCCTCCTGAGTGCTGGGATTATAGGCTCTTTTGCTTGCTTTTGAGACGGTCTCACTGTGTAGGCAGGGACCACCGTGACTCTATGACCTCACAGCCCCTATTCGCCAAGTGCCACACACCCAGCTCTTAGCTGCACAGTTTAACAGAGACTTTCATCTGATTCTGCTTTATTTGCATCAGCACCCACATGGGACCTGAGACGGGAGTTAGTGTTACTGAGAGGGTAGCTTTGGCTCTTCCAAATCTTATTTTAAACTGCTACTTTTTTTTTTTTTTTGAGGTGCTGGGGACAAATCCAAGGCCTTCTGCTTGATAGGCAAATACTCTACCACTAAGCCACATCTCCAACCCTTGGTTTGCTTTTGTTTTTAGAGACAGGGTTTCTTTGTGTACCCTTGATTGTCCTGGAACTAGCTCTGTAGACTAGACTGGCCTTGAACTCACAAAGATCTGCCTGTCTCTGCCTCCTGAGTACTGGGACTAAAGGTGTGTGCCACCACTGCTGGGATTTTTTTTTAATGTACATTTCTTTAAGATAGTCTTATAGTGTAGCTCAGGCTGTCGTGGAAAAACTCATTTTGTAGCTTAGGCTGTCCTCACACTCACAACAATCCTCCCAAATACTGGGGTTATAGGTGTGCACTACCATACCTATAGTAGCCCCTGGGTTTTTTTTTTTTTTGCATTTATTGTTAGTGTGTGTGGTGTGTGTATGTGGGCATAGATGCCATGGTGTTCAGGTAGAAGACAGAAAACTCTATGGAGTCCTTCCATTATTTCCTTCCAGTCGTATGTGGGTTCCAGAGGTGGAGCTTAGGTTGTCAGGCTTGTACAGCAAGGACCTTAACCAGCCGAGCCATCTTTCCAATTCACCCTGGGTACTTTGAGACAGGCTCTCCACTTGACTCCAGCTATCCTTGAACTTGAAGCCCTCCTCTCTGCCTCCCAAATGCTGAGATTAACAGGCTTGTGTTGTGAACTTTTAAAAGGAAAAAAGCTGTACAACTTCTAGAATTTACTATGTACACCATGGCTGAGATTTTAAATCTGTAAGAGTCATCAAGACTATTTCTTCTCACTGGCACAGTGGTATACATCTATAATTGTAGCTACTTAGAAGGCTGAAGTGGGATGATTTCTTGAGTGCATGAGTTTAAGACCAGCCTAGGAAATATATGGACAACTCTTTTGTTTTTTCCCAAAGGTGCGTGCTACCACCGCCCAGCTTTTTTTTAATTTTTTTAAAAAAGATTTATTTATCTATTATGTATACAGTGTTCTGTCTGCATGTATGCCTGCAGGCCAGAAGAGGACCCAGATGTCATTACAGATGGTTGTGAGCCACCATGTCGGTGCTTGGAATTGAAGTTAGGAAGAGCAGCCAAAGCTCTTAACCACTGAGCCATCTCCAGCCCCCAAAGTCTACAGCAACCAGTATTTCCAGATGGTCTCCCACCCAAGTACTAACCAGGCCTGACTCTCTTTAGCTTCTGAGAGCAGATGAGATTGGGTGTGATCAGGGTGTTGTGGCCATAGACAGGACAACTCTCATTTAAACAAAACTTCTCATTGTGTCTATAAGGTACTCAATATTTACTTTGGCAAAGCAAAAATTCTTCAGTTTGCAGAATCCTTTCTTTGCCTTCACTTCTTTATTTTTCAAGAGACTTTTTGTTTTTGTTTTGTTTTGAGATGGGGTCTCACAGCTCTGGTTCTCCTGGAACTCACTGTGTAGACCAGACTACAGGCTGGCCCCAAACTCAGAGAAAGGGTTTCAAGTAGTCCACACTGGCCTCGAACTAACTATACAGCTGAGGAGGACCCTTAATTTCCTTTTCTTGCTTTTGCTTCTCACGTACTGGGGTTAACAGCCTCTATACAATGTGCTTCCTTCCTTTAAAAAAAAAAAAAAAACAGGGGCTGGAGAGATGGCTCAGAGGGTAGGAGCGTTGCCTGCTCTTCCAGGGGCCCTGAGTTCAATTCCCAGCGACCACATGGTGGCTCACAACCATCTGTGGTGAGGTCTGGTGCCCTCTTCTGGCCTGCAGGCATACACGCAGAAAGAATATTGTATACATAATAAATAAATAAAAATATTTTAAAAAATATTTAAAAAGTAAATAAATAAATAAAACACTTTGGTTTTATGATTTTCACTTGTGTGTATGTGTCTGCGTGTGCGCACACACATGAGTACAGATCCTCATGAAAGCTAGAAGTGGTACTGGATTCTGTGGAGCTGAGTTGTATGTGGTTGTGAGATGCCCAACTTTGGGCTGGAAACTGAACTCAGTCCTCTGCAAGAGCAGCAAATGCTTTTACCATTGAGTAAGTCTCTCTAGCACACACCTTCCTTCCTTCCTTCCTTCCTTCCTTCCTTCCTTCCTTCCTTCCTTCCTCCCTCCCTCCCTCCCTCCCTCCCTCCCTCCTTCCTTCCTTCTTTCCTTCCTTCCTTCCTCCTTCCTCCCTCTTCCCCCCACCCCTGTCTCTGTCTGTCTCTCTCTTTTTTTGCGGGGCGGCGGGGTGGGGGTGGATTCAAGGCAGAGTTTCTGTGTAGCCCAGGCTGTTCTGGAACTCACTATATAGGGGAGGCTGGTCTTGAATTTAAAGATCTGCTGGCCTCTACCTCTGTGAGTGCTGGGATTAAAAGGCATGCACCACCACTCCCCAGCTGCAACTTTTTTCTTATTTTAAGAGCTTTAAAAACCTTTACTGATAAAGCATCAAAGTATGATGGAAAATGGAAGCATTACTTTTAAGTTTTCTCCTAGCCACAGAGATAATTTCTGTGGTGACTTGCTTAGTTTATTTGGTAGTTTTTGAGCAAGGATTTTTTTTTTTAACCTGGAAAAACTAAATATTATGACTGGAAGGGAGATCTGGGCATGTTCTATATCAATCCCACTGTCTGAGCAAGGTGTTGTTTATTCATTTCCATAAGGACTAGCCCATCAACTATGGTACGTCTCTGTACACCACTAATTATGCCTTTCCAATACCGCCTGGAAGAAATGTGTGTATCTGGGTCGGGGGAAAGAGGCCGTTTATTTTGTAGTGTATGTGCTTGTGTATGATCCTTGGTAAATAATCCAGTGCTTTCTCTGAAGTTATTAGATATTTAGAAATCCAAAAACCCTTAGCACACTGCAGTGCAAGGTGCAGGTCTCTCTCTTCTTCTTTTTTTTTTTTTCTTCAGACTTTCCACTTGAATCTAAATTTTTGTCAACTTCTCTGGGAGTAAAGTACTAGAAATGCTTGCAAGTGGCTTCAAAACCATTGAAATGGCCTGGCATGTTAGGATTGCTCATGGCTCTATGCCAAGGCACCTTTTTGTGTAGAGAAGAAGTAGCTTGTTTATTGCAGAAAATCAAAGAGATCAAGGCAATGTTTCAGAGAATAATTTAAAAGAATACAAGCTTCTTATATAAACAGTTTATTAAGCTCTTTAGCCCCTTTGCTGTCCTCACTTCCTAAACCGAAACAAAAATATATCTGGGAATCAGCTTCCAAGTAGGAGGCAACAACTCAGAGGCCAATGAGTTGGTCTGATTCCAGAATTCCAAGATGTGTGAGTAGCAGAATTTGAAGAATTATGTGGATCTGCCTCCCTAAGACAGACTGTGAAACAAGTGCTTACGCTTCGGAAATGGTGTTTTCAAAGAAATAAACATTTGTGCTGGCCCAGCCAAAGTGGTATTTATTCATTGAAGCAGAATGTAAATACAGCTGGGAGTCAGCAGCCGCCTCAAGCAAGTCAACCGCCTCACACACTTCCACCATTTTCCCCACTGCTGCGGCCTATCCAGCTACTCAGAGGCTTGCCTATGAACAAGCACTGCTTGCAGAAAATGAAGTCTTGCCAGTTCTTATCTAAAGACTCTCCTTAAGCTGTACCACTTCAAGCATTTAACTATGATTTTATGAGAGCATTCTGGATTCCAGTTATTATTCCTATGGACTTTAGGGAAAACAAAGAATGGTACAAAAAATATAATGTAAGCTATATATGTGAGTGACATATATAATTATATGTAATTTCTTTTAAGAAGTGGGGTGTCTCACTGTGTTGCCTCAGCTAGCCCTGTACTCCTGGATTCCACTAATCCTCCCGCCTCAGTCTCCCAAGTCACTGGAGGACTATGGATACATGCAGTAATATCTAGTTTCATAGGTATTGTTCAAATTTTGTAGTAGACAAAAATTAAAAGTATAAAGAAATGAGCAAAGCCAATTGATGATATATTTTATTTAACTTAATTTTTCTTTTTCTTATTTTGGCTTTTTGAGACAGGGTTTCTCTGTAGCTTTGGAGCCTGTCCTAGAACTAGCTCTTGTAGACCAGGCTGGCTTCGAACTCACAGAGATCTGTCTGCCTCTGCCTCTGCCTCCCGAGTGCTGGGATTAAAGGTGTGTACCACCACCGTCCAGCTTAACCAAGTATTTTCAAAGTTTTAAATATGAGATACTTTTTTTTGTTTTATACCAAGTTTTCCATATCAAATTTTTTAATATTTAGCACATCTTAGCTTTAGGCTACTGCAGTTTAAGAACTGTATGGTATTCACAGTGACGACCATATTGAATAGCACATATCTGAACTGTTCCAAATTATTAGTGCTCCTTACTACAGAGTTCTTCAAAATTAGTACCTAACAATAAAATAAAACTTGGCTCCTGCTAACTGAATGTCTTATTCATTCAAAAGGTAGCATTTTTGCTCAAGATAGTCTGTAACATGCTA